GGGTTTGTATATGAGACAGTGTGTGGCGAGCTGCAAAGCCGACCAGTGGTAGTTATTAGGTGCTTTGAACCCCATTGTCTGCGCTGACCACAGATGGTCATCGGATGTTTTGAGAGGAGCAGATAAAACCGTGAGATGATGAGGGGGCACTTGGGAGGGTTTTCCTGCCAGCCTTGCAAATGCAGGCCCTGGAGGAGGTGGCTGTGGACCAACCCCCAGAGACGGTCACTTTAAAGGGAGAAGGGTGTGCTTCAGGCTTACGAATCCCTGTTCCAAGGAGAGGGCGGGGACACCGCTAATGTGGTCTCTTTCTAGTCTGGCCGGGACTTAACGATGGCGCTTGGCTGGTGCTTCAGGCAGGAACAAAGGGACGCAGTCTTTGCTGGGTCCCTGGGCGTGGAGGCACTGGCTGGCTCGTGACCCCTGTCTTCCCTGCCCCTCTTCCCTCGGAGACGTCCCCTCTCTGTCCACACACGGGCGTTATTCCTGGGCCAAGCCGGCCTTCTGGCCGAATGGTGGACCCTTTCCTCTGTCTGGGATTTGTCCCCCACCGAGGTGGTGGGCTTCTGCCCCCACCATAGTCAACCCCCAATTTCCTACCTGTTTAAAGAAATGTGAATTCCTTTCACCTGTTGCCCAACCTTCACCAAGGCCGTTTCTCACACATTTGCCCTTTGTTCTTAGGCCTGGAAAGTATTTCAGGCTTGAGGGCTTAAGAGTTTTCCAACCTTTCATGGCCCTTCTCAGTCAGAACCCCGGAGAAATGCAGGGATAGGGTCTCCGAGCCCCTCGCGGCCTGTGGGCCCAGCCTGACCGCCCTTCTGGCTGGGGAGCCTGAGCTGGCTGTGGGCTCAGGTGATGGGGAGTGTCCTGCCGGGTGAGGACAGACTCCTGCCTTGTTCCCTGACCTTCTCTTATCTCATCACAGTTCATCTCCTGTTCCCGAGGTCTCCTCCCTTGTCCTCACCCTTGAGCGTTTCAGCTGTTTTCGTCTTCCCTTCATTTCCCTCCCTTTCTTCTCTGCGTTCGGACCCCAACCCTCTGCCTCTGCCTCAGAAGATCTGTATCTTGGATGCATCCCCTCTTCCTGGCTTCCGTCTCCTCTGCAGACCTCGTTGGGACTTGCACCGTGTGCTGAGCAGAGGGCAGGGAACACCCGTCCACACTCTGGGCCTGGAGGGGAGAACACAGGGGCCGTTTACCTGGCCGCCTTTCTGAGATAGCATTGCCCTGAGAAGCTGTTTCCCCAAGTGTTTTCCTTGGAACGATTGCTTAGAGGAGCCTCCCCCCAGTGGAAAGTCCCCGAACGCAGAGGACTGTGTGGCCCGATCGCTGTTTCCCTCGGACACATGACCGTATGGAAGGCTTTGGAAAGTTCCACACTAGAGAAGCCTGTTTACTTGGAGCAGGACTCCCTGTAACAGAGACCGTCCCTCCGGCCTGTTTGTAAGAGCTCTTCTCACCTCAGGTCGTGTGTTAGCCGTTTTTGCCAGAAAGGTCTTCCTTGTTGTTCAGTCGCTAGGTCATCTCCGACCCTCTTTGCGACCCCGTGGACTGCAGCCCGCCACCCTCAGAGACGGTCTTCCCTGGGTCGGGAAGATCCCCTGGAGGAGGGCCTGGCAACCCACTCCAGTGTTCTTGCCTGGAGAATCCCATGGACAGAGGAGCCTGGCGGGCTACAGTCTGTAGAATCTCAAAGAGTCGGACACAAGTGAAGTGAGTTAGCACGCATGCTAACAATAATAAACAGTAACTCCCCATTCCCCACTCTCTCCGCCACCATTCTCCTTTCTGTCTGTGAATCTGACTATTCTCAGAATGTCAGACGGGTGGGATCATGCAAATTTGTCCTTTCGCATCTGACTTACTTTCACTTGGCGTCATGTCTTCAAGGTTCATTCATGCTGTGACAGGGGCCACTCTTCGTTGTGATGTGCGGGCTTAGTTGCTCCCCAGCATGTGGGATCTTTCCCCAGATCAGGGATTGAACGCGTGTCTCCTGCCTGGGCAGGCAGACTTACCACTGATCCAGCTGGGAGGCCCTGCCCCGGAGAATCTGACAGTCAGCACTGCTCCTAGGTGGCCTACCTACCTAACAGGCAAGCCACTGAATTGCATGGGCATCTACCCTGTTTATCTTTCCCTCCAGAAGCCTGATAGAGGGCCTTGCTGATTCTGACAGTCAGTCCTGGTGTGCTGGTGAACCCGCTTGACACTCTTGTTTTAAAAGCAAATAAGCCTATGACCCAGCAGTTCTGCTCTGGGATATTGACCCAAGGGAAATGAAGGCATATGTCCATACAAAAACTTGGACAGAAGTGTTCATAGCACCAAGAACTTCCAGGGGACTCATCTGTGAACTTTAGCATCTTGCACCATGATCCTTCCAGCCAAGAAGGTGGTGGGAGTCCAGGGGGGCACAGAGCCGCCTGGAGGAGGTGGCCTCTGCTGAGGAACGGAGGGCAGACAGTACTGTTGGAGATCAGAGGAAGGGGGCAGCTCCTTGGCTCCGGGGGACAGAAAAGGCCCCCGAGGAGGGCGGGGTGGGGTATGTTGTGGGTGGGAGGGATGGCATGAGCTGGCCACTGTGGCTGAAACACAGCACGCTGGGCAGTACTAGGCTTCATCTCCAGCAAGACCACGTGGGCCTCAAAATACCACCAGCCCACACGGCTAGATTTCTGGATGCCCACAGGCTACGTTGCTTGGCTGGGGGTGTGGTGTGGTTCCCAACAATGGTGGTTTCTTTTGTGGAATTGACGGTGGGCAGGACAGACTGTCAAGAAGTCTGTTTTTTTTTGTTTGTTCATTCAAGTATTTAATTTTTTTAAACTGTGGTAAAATATACATAATGTTTACAGTCTTAATCATTTAAGTTTTGAGATCACCATATGTTCACATTCTTGTGTAACCATCACCACCTTCCATTTCCAAGACCTTTTCCTCCTCCCAAACTGAAACTCTAAACCATGAAACAGTAACTCCCACCCCCTTCCCCCTGGTTGCTAGTAGCTACTCTAGGAATTCTGGAAATCTCATATAAGTGGAATTATGCAGGTTTGTCTTTTTGTGTCTGGCTTATTTCAGTCTTAGCATCATGTTCTCAAGTTTCTTCTGTGTTGTAGCATGTATTCAGTTCAGTTGCTCATTCATGTCCGACTCTTTTCAACCCCATGAACTGCAGCACCGCAGGCTTCCCTGTCCATCACCAACTCCTGGAGCTTGCTCAAACTCATGTGCATCGAGTTGGTGATGCCAGGTGATGCCATCCAACTATCTCATCCTCTCTTGTTCCCTTCTCCTCCTGCCTTCAATCTTTTCCAGCATCAGGGTCTTTTCCAAAGAGTCAGCTCTTTGCATCAGGTGGCCAAAGTATTGGAGCTTCAGCTTCAACATCAGTCTTTCCAATGAATATTTAGGGTTGATTTCCTTAAGGATGGACTGGTTTGATCTCTGTGCAGTCCAAGGGACCCTCACGAATCTTCTCCAGCACCACATTTCAAAAGCATTAATTCTTTTGCACTCAGCTTTCTTTATAGTCCAACTCTCACATCCATACATGACTACTGGAAAAATCATGGCCTTGACTGTATAGACCTTTGTCAGCAAAGTATAGAATTTCATTTTTAAAATAATTTTATTTATTTATTTTTGACCTCGCTGGGTCTTTGTTGCTACAAGGGCTTTCTCTAGTTGCAACACGTGGGCTTCTCATCGCAGTGGCTTCTCTTGATGCAGAGCCCAGGCTCTTCGGTGCTCAGGCTTTAGTAGTTGCTGCCCATGGGCTCAGTAGTTGTGGCTCCGGGGCTTAATTACTCTGCATCATGTGAAATCTTCCTGGACCAGGGATCAAACTCATGCTCCCTGCATTGGCATGTGGATTCTCATCCACTTCACCACCAGGGAAGACCAGAATTTCATTTTTGAAATGGAGAATAATATGCTATTGCATGAATATATAATGTCCCATTGTATGGATATACCTCATTTTGTTTATCTGTTCATCCATCAGGGGATTCTGGGGTTGTTCCCACCTTTGGACTGTTCTGAATGGATTTGATTTTAAAGCATGATGTTTATACAAGGGATCTCTGGGGAGTGGAGAATAGGATGGATTTGCTGGGAGAAGAGCCAGAGAGTCTGTGAGAAGCTCCATAACAGCCCAAGTGTGTAGAGAAGGATGCTGGGGGTGGGGCTGGGTGGAGTGGCTGGGGCAGAACAGAGGGTGAGGAAGGCTCCCACGGGGCTGACCCAGGCTCTCGGGAATATAGGGCAGGGCCAGGATCCCTGCCGTGGGGAGGCTGGGGTTGTTTCTGGTTGGGGGGCTGGGGGAACCATCAGCAGAAGTGCTGGCTCTGTGTCGAAACTTGGCCAGGAGTATTGTGCCGAGTCCCGGCTCACCTGTGACATCTGGGTGTGACCATTCAGACCTGGGGACTGGATATCTGTGAGCCGGAGGGCAAAACGCGAAACCAGAGTGCCAGGTCGAGAAAGCAGCTTCCAGAGACAGGAGGCTTATGGATGAGAGGAGGGGTGGGTGGAAATGGGGTGATGGGGACCCCGGGACCGGTGACCAAGGAAGGAAGCTTCCAGAACCATCAGTGTAGTAGAGTGGGTGCATAGGGTGCCTTGTGGCAGCCCTTCCGTTGTCCAGCGTTAGGAGGTTCTGTGGATGTTTGTTGACCAAAATGGGGAAAAATAAAGGTAAACAGGCATGTTTTTCATCCTAAGGAAACTTACAGCCTAGTTAAGGCATTAACAGATCTGAAAACACTCCTGGAGTGCAAGACCCACTTTGAGTCGGATCCTGCAGAGGGATGTTGAAGGAGAGGCAGGGGACCCTTCCAACGCAGTGACCCTGGTGGGCAGTGCAAGGCAGGAGTTGTTTAAGTCATTTTCAGTTAACTAAGGCCAAAAGCATTTCGCATTTGGTAGATTAACAAGTGTCTTTGGTCCTGGCCGTGGCCACCCCTCACCAGCATCCTGCATTTGACCCACAGGTATGACGCTGGAAGGGATGGCTTCATTGACCTGATGGAGCTGAAGCTGATGATGGAGAAGCTGGGGGCCCCCCAGACCCACCTGGGCCTGAAGAGCATGATCAAGGAGGTGGACGAGGACTTTGATGGCAAACTCAGCTTCCGTGAGGTACCTGGGTCCTGCTGGCCCTGAGCCCCTGGAGGGGGAGAGCCCCTGAGAGGACCCGCCAATTTACCATCCCCTGGACTACACAATGGCTTGGGCCCCTCTAGAGAGCTGCTTGGATATTTAACCTGCAGTTCTGCTTTTTAACATATCTTTAAGGAGCTAGTGAACCACAGTGCTGGCATGAGAAAATGCTCAGCAAGCAGTTTGAAAATCACTTTGAGTAGGATAGCCTCCTTTGGGTAAAATGGTAAGTATTGAAGGGATGTTCACCAAAACATTCGTAGTGAATGTCTGTGGGTGTGAAGTTTTGGTGGTTTTTAGTTTTACACTTTAAAAATATATTTAAACTGTTAATTTTTATGTTGTTGTTGTTTAGTTGCTAAGTCCTGTCCGACTGTTTGCAAACCCATGGACTCTAGCCCGTCATGCTCCTCTGTCCATGGGATTGCCCAGGCAAGAATGCTGGAATAAGTTGCCATTTCCTTCTCCAGGGGATCTTCCTGACCCAGGGATCGTACCCTCATCTCCTGCTTCGAGGGTAGATTCTTTACCACTGAACCACCTGGAAAGCCCATTAATTTTTATAATAAGCATTTTAAAGTAGTTTTTTTTTTTAAAGCAATTATACAAAGGGTCTTACTCTCTGCCCCTGAACCTTCCCCTCCAAACAAGTCCAGGATAGGTTTTTGGTCTTTGAACCCCTGAAATTGTGGGCGAAATTGTGCACATACAGATATCTTCCTGGAAGAGTACATATAGATTCACCTGATCTCCCAATGGGTGAAAAACCTCAGCCATTTTTATTTTGGGGAATAAATCTCAAGGCCACTGGGTTTCTTCCACAGCAAGAATGCAGCTCCACAAGGAAGGGAATTGCATGTCTTGTGTGTTTAAGTTTTAGAATAATTTTGGCGACACCATCCAGGCTGAAGGTTTAGACATTAGCCCAGCTGCTGTGGTCTCTTTTTCAGTTGTATCTCTTTTGGGACCCTCGGAAGCTGAAAGAAGAGAGGACAGTCCTTGTCTTCTGGTCTTTAACCTTGATTATTCCAGAAACAGTGGAGAGCTGGCATCCTGGTTTCTGAGGGTTAGAACTTTGGCCAAATACTGGTCTTCTGTCCAGGCTTGATAGGGCCTTTGGATGCTTTTCCTGGTGGGGTGGGGTGTGGGTTCTCTTTGAAGTTGAGTTTGCAGCCATGAGTCCCTTCCCCAGCTAACCGTGCCTCTCACTGCTCACAGATCAACTTCAGAATCTCCCATCTCTTCCTTTCCTCAACTGGCTGATGTGGAGATAGATCATGGAAAACCTGTGTTGTGTGTAACCCTCAGGATAATCCGCTGCCAGACTTCTCATTTCAGAGCTAAGGAGCTAGAAGACCGAAAAGGTCAGCACTTGCCTGAAATCAGGTCCCGGCTCAGGGCTGGGCCTGGGAGACAGCCTGCCACCATCATTTACCATGTTCAACTTTGCAGCTGCCTCTCTGATTCCCTTGCCTCTTATTTGTATTACTACAAATTAATAATAATAATAATTATAATATCAATCCTTTGTATTGTTCACGCATCATACTAGGCATTAGCTCTTTCTTTCCGATGTCTCAAGTGGTAAATAATCAACCTGAAATGCAGGAGATGTGGGTTTGATCCCTGGGTCGGGAAGATACCCTGGAGGAGGAAATGGCAACCCACTCCAGGATTCTTTCCTGGGGAATCCCACCAGAGGAGCCTGGCAGGGTAGAGTCCACGGGGTCACAAAGAGCCGGACATGACTGAGCACACATAACAGCAACAATAATCTGGGAACCCCTGGGATATAGAAAGTAAAGGATTTTGCCTTGGTGAAGCTTTGGAGGCACTGCTGGGGAAAGAACTTTTGTGGCAAAGTTTTAACCTCAGGGGAATGGAAATCGAGGGTACTTTGACATCTGTGCAAGTCGCTGATTTAAAACCCCTCCCCTGTTTTACCCAGGAGCCTCCCGCATGTGCCCCTCTCTGTCTCCAAGATGCTCAGTTAGCCTTGGGTTAGCTGCTGGTTTGGCCATTTCGATCAGTGGCTTGGACATTTCCAGAGGGTTTCGTTGTGGGTACTCAACCCACCTACAGGCCTTCAGTGGTGTTCACGTCCAGTCCTTTGTCAATTCAGAGCCCCACTGTGGCCCCATCTCTCGGACTCATGCCCAGAGGTACAGATTTGGAAGTGCGGGTGCGTTTGCCATTAATACCCCAGAGCCCAACTTCCTGCTCTTAGGATTTCACTCTGCTGATATCCACCCATGTTGGAAGCCACCAGTGACTGATGCTGTGTGTGTGTGATGAAAAGAGGTGTACATTCCAACCTCCATCTTCCACACAGAGCGGCATAGCTGGAACACATTATTTCTCAGCCTCAGTTTTTACGTCCTTAAAATAGGGCTGTTAACAGCTTTTGCTCAGGACTGTTTTGAGGACAAAGTTCTCTTTCTATGCCTCTATCAGTTAGAATGCTTGACTGTTAGTGATGGAAACTAATTAGTGATGCTAACTAATTTAAACAAGGAAAGAACAAGCGACTCTTGGTTCACATACCTAGGAGATAAAGAAGTGAAAGTGTTTTAGACACAAGTAATCAGGGATTTTCTCTTGCTGCATCTTGACTGTGCTTTTTTCTACATCCTTTCTTTCCAAATAGGGTGTTGTCCCTGGTGCCTGCCAAGATGGTTCCTGGCAGCTCCAGGCTACATTGCCCTAGGGGATGGAGGGCTACTTCATCCTAGAATCCATAGCAGTCTCAGAAGAAGGCTTCTGATTGGCCCTCATAAGAGTATATGCCCACCTCCTGGGCCAATCATTGCATCCACGATACTGTGATTGGTTAGATCCGGGTCATGTGCCACAAGGCATCATAGTCAACAGCTCCACCACCATCATCACATGGCAGGAGCTGCTAGATAGACAAAATGGCTCATTTCTATAGTGCCTTCCTGACCTGACACTTAGTAGATGCTTGGTGAGTTTATGTTCCCTTTATTTTTCTTTGAATTAACTTGACTGAAGTGAGTTACATCCAAAGAAAAGCCCTTTGATACAGAAAATATGTCTCTATTAAGCACTAGTTTGCTACTTTCCCCCAACGTTCAAGGGAATTGATCTTTCTTTTAAACCATTTCTTTTCCAATTATGAAAATAATATGTGCACATCTGGGGTATTTAACAAAATGGCACACACGGAGCCTTTAAAAACGATGATCTAGCACAGTGTTTGATGACCAGAGGACAAATGTTGACAGTGTGAGAAGCAGGAACAAAAGCAGATTTCCAAACTGTGTGTAAAAGATAATTGTTTGCCTTTATAGTTTATGTACATGTACAGACAGGTAGGAGAAGTCACAGGATGCACTGGAGTTAGCAGTTCTATCTCCATAGCTCTAGGGATCTAGAATGGGATTCCAGGCACTCCCCACCTCAGTCTCCTTTGGAGGCAGACAGAGAGCCCTTAATATCTTCCTCCCTTTTGCTTGTAGTCCTTACTAATTCCATTACATCTGTCTCAAAGAATTGCTCCAAGACTACAAAGGCTGGATAAGGGGTTTACTAGATTACCTGTCAGTTCTGGGAACTGGGTGGCTTCCCAGATGGTAAAGAATCCACCTGCCAGTGTAGGAGACCCAGGTGGGAAGATTCCCCTGGAGGAGGGAATGGCAACCCACTCCAGTATTCTTGCCGGGAAAATCCCATGGACGGGGGAGCCTGGCAGGTTACAGTCCATAGGGTCTCAAAGAGTCAGCCACAACAGATCACACATGCACATGCATGCACTGCATACACTGGAAACTGTAAGTCTTCTTTTCTCCTCCCACCCTACCCTCCCTAAGAGGGTCCATGGCAGCCCTGGCTGTCCTGGGTTGCTGCCCTGTCTGTTTATGGTTGATTGGACCATGGGTGGATGCCTGGCCAGGCTAGGTCAATTGGATTCTGTATCTGGGAATTTGGGGCTGAAGTACGGCACAGTGGCTCTGCAGGTGGCTGTTCCTGCAAGGATAATTCAGTGTGGGGTGGCCGTTTTCCACCATGTGGTCCAGACACGAGAGTTCAAGAGAGAATGTGGCCTCCCTGTCTTGAACACATTGGCTCTCCCCATTCCAATCTTCATCCAGGCCACTGTATTTTGCCCTTGGCTTTTGAGATAGCCTATTTGTATAATGAATACCTCCTTTCTGCTTAAGCCAACAAGTGTGTTTCTGTCACTCGCCACTAAGAGCTCTAACTAATGTGGGAAAGTGTTTGCATCACCAATCAGAGCCACAGAGTTAAAAATTCCCTTAAATTCTTCACAAGCATTTGCTAGCTCATGTCTGAAACTGCTTTTGAGCTTTGTGAGTTCTCTCTGTTTCTTTGTTTTCTGCTTCTCCTTCCCTCCCCCCTCTTTGCTCAGAGTCACAGCTAGGACACTTTCCAATTCTTTACAACATACCAGTCTTTGTGGACTATAAATAGGAAGACAAACAAGGCTGGGCAGTTGGAGAAATTGTCATTCAAGGGTTGGTGATTGTGATACATTAAATGGGAAAGTCTGGCATGCTTTATGGAAGGCTGGAGATTTTCGAGTTGAGCTGGATCTTTTTTCTTTAACTGGCTGGGGCAGGGAGACCCCTCAGTTACGACAGAGCTGCTGGTGGTCACCTGTGAGCTGGCAGAGTTAAGAGTGAGCACACGTGGCTGGGATCCACTCAGAGGAAAGGACTGTTGAGGAACTTTAAGCTCTTCTCTTGTTGCTGTTGTTTAGTCACTCAGTCAAGTCTGACTCTGCGATCCCATGGACCCTAGCCCGCTAAGCTCTTCTGTCCCTGGGAATTTCCAAGCAAGAATATTGGAGTGGGTTGCCATTTCTTGCTCCAGAGGATCTTCCCAAACCCTTCTGTAAACACCAACATGGTCATCTCTGCTGCAGAGTAAGAAAAGTGAATTTCAGAGAAGAGACTCCCCAGCCCCAGGTCACTAGGATTGGTGCTAGGCTGGGGGCGGTGCTCTGTCTTTCCTAAGCTGCCTCCCTGGGAGAGAGAGACGACCTGTTTCGTGCCTGCCTCATGGAGAATTGGGGAGGAGGGTGGCTTCTGTAACTAACTGCTTTAAGGATGCGTAGGTGACCGAGAGATGGTTGGGCGTTTTACTCTTTCCCTCTGTCTGAGGCTCACGTGTGCAGGGCTCTTCAGTCTCTCTATGAGAGCCCGCTCACCACCATCCCCCAGCCCCCTTGTCCCCCATCCTCTTCTTGGGGGAACCTCTCCTCTTTCAACAGGCTTGACTTCCACGTCTTCTTTGGAGCCCGTGTTCTGGCTCTGAGAGTCTGCCGCAAACTGAGTCTTTGCCGGCCTCTAGTGAGAGAATTTGAAGCTGCAGGTGGGTGACCGTGGCTTTTCTGTAGAGCCAAGCTGACCACGGTGGCAGGCTCCTCCGTGAAGCTGAAAGTCCTGCAACATCTTGCTTCACCGGTTGCTTTGTTTTTGGCGAAGTCCACAGTGGAGTGAGGACCCTCAAAGCAAGAATGACAAAGTAGGACTTGTTGGCAAGGCGTTTTGGGGTGGTGATGGTGGAAGCTCGGACTTTCACTTAATGAAACAGGCTTCCCTCTAGGCGGTAAGAGACACTCAAGTTGGAATTTGGAAAAAGTGCACTGAGGTCGTCTTACCTCTTACTCTGCTTTAGAAAATGCTCTTTCCTCTTGGGGAAGACAATCTTTAGAGGAAAATTGAAATTTCCCTTTAGGCATACATATTGTGTGTGTGCGCGCGCGTGCACTCTCAGATGCTGTCGTGTCTGACTCTTTGCAACTCCATGGACTGTAGCCCACCAGGCTCCTCTGTCCATGGATTTCTCCAGGCAAGAATACTGGAGTCAGTTGCCATTTCCTCCTCCAGGGCATTTTCCCAACCCAGGGATCAAACCCACGTCTCCTGCATTGGCAGGGGGATTCTTTACCACTGAGCCACCTGAGAAGATCTATTCTTTACAGATGGATAAATTATGGAAGTTGGATAGAAGCTGTTTGACAAATAAATTCACAAAAAAATTTTAAAGTAAAAAAAGCCATAAAACTGCCTTGGGGGTGATGGAAGGACATGCAAGGGGTGAGATAGAGCAAGGACGCTCTTTCAGGTTGACCTATTTGTTTATTTAAAAATGTATTCTCCAGAGTATTGTATGTACTGTGTTCTCTTAGTAGAGACTGACTTTAAAGACAGATTCATTCAGGTCACATTCTGAATCTTTAGGAAGACGATGGATTATTCAATAAGTGGTGTGGGGATTACTGACTAACCATGTGGAAGAAAATAAGGTTAATGATCAACTTCACATGACAGATCAGAATAAATTTCAGAGATTAAATATTTACATGTTTTTTTTTTGAAAGAGTCCTAAAACCTGTAGACAAAAACACAGGTGATTGTTTCTGTAACCTTGGTAGCAAGGAAGGATTTTCTAAGCATAACACTGGTGAGAGAAAATCAAAGATTGATAGCTTTTGAAAAAAATTTTCACCATAAACAAAATTGAAAGGCAAATGACAGAGCTAAAGTAGAAAACACCAAGAAAGGTAAATAGTTTAACGTCAAAATGGGACACAAATGGGAAGTAGGAATGGTTTTTTAAAATGTCAGAAATATTAAGTTATTTAGTTTCAAAATAGTGCATACCGGTCTACTGGACTTTTTCTTTCATGGCCGTTAAGTAGGATGTTGCCAATTCTTTGCTATTATGGATGGTGCTTCTTCTTAAACCATTTTATGTAATGTTTTTATGCGATATAACATTTATGTGCATGTTTTAAGGGATGGATTCCAAGCAGTGGGATTAATGATTGGAAGGGTGAAAGCATTTTATTTTTGGTAAATATTTCCAAAACGCCCTCCAAAAATTTTGATTCAGGTTACACTCTCATCAACATGAGGGAGCCCCTTCCCCTACATCCTTGTGGGAAGATGGGCCCTTTTTTAAAAAAAAAAAATGTATATGTTTGTTTGTTTATTGGCTGCAGTGCGTCTTCATTGCTGCACGTGGGTTTTCTCTAATGTGGCCGGCGGGGGCCACTCTTTGTTGCTGTGCGCGGGCTTCTCGTTGCCGTGGCTTCCTTTGCTGTGAAACACGGACTCTAGGGCGAGCAGACTTCAGCAGTCGTAACTCCCTGCTCTTAGAGCACAGGCTCAGTACTTGTGGGCCTAGTTGCTCCTTGGCACGTGGCATCTTTCCAGACCAGGATCGAGTCGGTGTCCCTTGCATCACAAGGCGGAGGCTCAACCACTGGACCACCAGGGAAACTCCTTGTTTTGTTTTTTTGACTGTGTCTCGAGGCATATGGGATCTCAGTTTCCCCGACCAGGGATTGAAGCCACATCCCCTGCAGTGGAAGCACAGAGTCTTAACCACTGGACTTCCAGGGAATTTCCCCATGTTTTCAGTGTTGACAGTGTGATAAGGGAAAAAAATAACTTGTCACATGGACACGTGGACACTGTTTGTAATAGGCGTGGCTGTAATGACTGCAGCTCGGGTCAGAGGGGACTATTATAAATCTCTTGGTGATGTTGACTTTGACCCTTACCAACCTTCCCCCGCAGTTCCTGCTCATATTCCACAAGGCTGCCGCGGGAGAACTGCAGGAGGACAGCGGGCTGATGGCACTGGCGAAGCTTTCTGAGATCGATGTTGCCCTGGAGGGCGTCAAAGGTGCCAAGGACTTCTTTGAAGCCAAGGTAGGTGTCTCCTTCCTGCGTGGCACAGTCCCTCTGTCCCTGCAGCCTGCCCAGCCGAGCTCCCAGCCGGCGACCAGCTCATCAGCTCCCCCAGGACAGGGAAACGGCGATTGCTTGAGCATGTGAGATTGTAGGGAAAGGAGAGTGTGTGTCTGTGTGCCATCTGACAATTAAAAACGAATGGGAAAATGGCCAAATGGCAAATGCGTTGGATCCTGGTTTCAGATTTTTTTTTAAATTTTTGGCTGTGCTGGGTCTTCATCGCGCCTCGGGCTTTTCTCTAGTTGTGGTATGCAGGTTCTCACTGCGGTGCCTTCTCTTGTGAGGAGCACAGGCTCTAGGGCACTCGGGTTTCAGGAGCTGCAGCATGTGGCCTCAGTAGTTGTGGCTCCCAGGTTTTCTAAAGCACAGGCTAGTAGTTGTGGTGCATGAGCTTAATTGCTCGGCAGCACGTGGGATCTTCCCAGACCAGGGATCGAACCCATGTCTCCTGCATCGACAGGCGGATTCTTTACCACTGAGCCACGAGGGAGGCCCCTGATATCAGATTCAAACAGGCTTGCGGGTGCAATGGTCCCAGACGACTCTGGAGCCAGACTTTCCTAGAGAATTCCTCTCTACCCCAAACCACACGAGTTATTTGAATGGCTACCTCCGTGTTTGCACCTTAGACACCTGTGTGTAAACAAGTGACTAACGGGCCCCGAGGAGGCTGCCTCATTGGCTTGCTCTGGATCAGAATTGTTATGTGCAGCGTTGACGATGCCAGGGACCCGGGAAGGATTCTGCAGCGCGGGGTCTTGGAGCCCTTCTGGGTGCTTCTGTTCATTCATGAGTTCATACGGTCATTGAATGTTTCTGGAGATTTCATCTCAGTCTGGCAGAAAGAGAGATCAGGAACACTCCAATTTCCCTCTGCAATTTGGGGGGGACGGGTGGGAGGAGTGCCGTGGATAAGACCGCCTGGGTTCACCTTCTGCCTCCTCCACTTACCTGTCACCTCGGTGCCTCTGTTTCCTCATCTGTACCATGGAGTTGATAATGAGATCGCCACGAGGATGAAATGCTTTCTTGCGTCTGAAGCATTTAGCAAGTGCCTGGCTCACTGAGCTCACTCCGTACGTGATATGAGTTGCTGGGACTCCCTACAGCTCCAGCCAGGGGCCAGCCCCTTGTGGTGGTTGCTTAGTCTTCCTGATCCAGGGACCAAACTCACATCTACTGCACTGGCAGGCAGACTCTTTACCACTGAGCCACCATGGAAGCCCCACCTCTCGTGGAACTTTGGCTTATCCCAGGAGTTTCTTTGCCCAGAAACAGAGTGTCCTGGGTGACACAGCCCAGCCTGTTCAGGCCTCAAAGCCCAGCACTCTCTCTCCACAGCTCTGTGATGCTGCGTGGAGACAAGAGTCCAGCATCTTTCTGCCAGGCAGACCCTTATCCATCGCGCCACCAAGGAAGTCCCTGCCTCAAGGATTTTATCCTTCAGAGACACTCGTGCCAATGTACATAGATGTATAGACAAAGCTTTTCGTACATTGAGGTTGGTAATGGAGGAGAACTGAACGTAACAGAAATGTCTGTGACCCAGGAATTGAGTCCATTGTGGTTCACCCACCCATTTACACATACGATAGCTCTTGAAGAATGAGATGCAGCTGCATTTACGTTTGATGGTTGTTCAGTCCCTCAGTCGTGTCTGACTCTTTGCGACCCCATGGACTGCAGCACGCCAGGATTCCCTGTCCTTCACCATCTCCTGGAAGTTGCTCAAACTCATGTCCATTGAGTCGGTGATGCCATCCAACCATCCCGTCCTCTGTCATCCCCTTATGTGTGGACAGATGTCCAAAATGAATTAGGCAAAACAGTATGCTTGAAACCCAATTTTGTGAAATAGTAAATACAACCTGGATGGCTTTGTACCGAAGTATTAGTAATAGTGATGTCAGAGGGACTGACTTTTTAAAATAATTTTGTGAGGCTTTATGATGTGTGTGCATTATTTTTACAACCAGGAGAAAAGATGAAAAGAATAACAATAAAATTTTTTGAGCGTGCTCTGTTTATACGTCTGCCTCCTCACCCACAGACTCAAAGGCAGGGCAGGTGTGTTGCCTGTGTAATTACAGTGCCTGGCTAATAATGGCCCTCAAGAAGTGTTGGCATGAATGATGAATGGAGGAAATCACCGCCCGAATTTGGGAGAAGGCCATAAAGGAGCTGACATTCGCGACAGATGTTAAAAGATGAATGGGGATTCACCTTGTAATCAGGGAGGAGAAGGCGTTCTGCCGTGGGAACTCTGAGAGCAAAGGCTCTGAGGCATGGGGCGGGGAGGGGCAGGGAGTGCTTGGAGTCTGGCCCCTGTCCGTACTCGACACAGCTGGACAGGAAGCTCTGGGCTCCCCTGAGGGTCAGGCTTTCCCCAGCCTGTGGATCACCAGAATTATCTGCTGACCAGCTTCCCAGGCCTCACCCAACTCTCCCCGGGCTCTGCGGGAGGATTCGGTGCATGGCCAATCTTGGAGAGCAGGGCCTTGCTCTGATCAGCCTTGGGTACAACGGGGACAGACTTGCCTGGGGAGAGACTGGACTCAGGAAGGCTCCGTAGCCGCCTGGAGAAGAACTCCAATGAGGAGTGTGACAGTGGGCTGGGAAGGAGGTGGGGATGAATCCCAGACCCTCCAGAGCTCTCAGTGTTGGGACTTCCCTGGTGGGCCTGTGGTTAAGTCTCTCTGCTCCCAGTGCAGGGGGCATGGGTTGGATCCCTAGTCAGGGAACTAAGATCCTGCATGCTGCACGCTGCAGCAAAAAAAGAAACCCCAAAACTCTGTGTTCACGACCATGTGATTGGAGGTGGAAAGTAAAAAGCGACAAGATTATTGGAGCTGTGGGGCCAGGGGTTGGTGATACTAAGAAAAATCAAAACAGGACCTCTGTCCCTGAATGTGAATGGTTTATGGAGGAAAAGTAATAACCTGGGTCTTACTGTTAAGTCCGAGGTGACTTCAGGCAAGGGAAAGACCTGCCCCTTTATCTGAAGGCACACTTGTTTGCTACTAGCTTTTGCTCAGTCCTGTTGGACAGAACTTAGCCACACCCCGTTAAATGGGAGACTACAGAATGCCTTTTTTTTTCTTTCCTGGGGATCCTTGTGCCCAGCTGCAATTCTGCTGTTGAGGAAGATAGGCATACTAGATACTATAGTCATGGAATAATCTCTTCCACACTTGTCCATTCCTAAACTGACTCCTGACAAGGGCTGCAATATTGTTACTTTGATGGGCTCCTCTCCTTGAGCCCGGGGGTGAGGCCAGTCTTCCCTAGGCCCTTGGGCCATGTGCTAGGGAAGCATCTTATAGAAAGAAAAGTGGGGGGCAGGGGAGGATGGATGTTTCATGGACAATCAGCCGCACAGACCACAGGCACTAGCTTCACAGGATACAAGCTGAAACCTGAAACTAGAGGGAATTGACCAAGGGCAGAACATCATGGCGACTAGAGTGGGAAAAGAAATAATCAGAGATACAAGGAAACTCTGGAGAAATGCTGATATGGAGAACAGGAGCAATTTCAAGAGGAGATTGACTCAGATGAGGTTGGGGCAGAGGTGTTGGGTCCAGCAAATGGGTCAGTGGAGAATTTTGAGAGATGAGGTTCACTGTGGAGAGAGGGCAGATTGTAATAGGGTAAGGGGTAGGTGGGAACTGGGGGAAAGGGCCCTGATAGCTGGCTTTTTTGTCTAGAAGGTTGGCAGAGGAGGCCTTGACAAAGTGGGGATGGTAGCTTAGGATCAGGAAAGAAATTTTTTATTTTTAGCCTAGAGAAGATAGATGTCGGCATGTTTCTAGGTCACAAGGAAGTGATCCAGGGAGAGGAAAGCATAAAGAGTGGAATGATTGACGGGACAAGTACTTGGAGATCATAGAATGGAGAGGAGAGGTGGACTTTTATAGTGGAGGAGAAGGACCTCAAGTAATTGCACAGGTCCCCAACCTTCCTCTGACCTGGCCAGGAATGGGCAGGTGGGGTGGTTAGCAAGCGTGTGAGTGTTGATGGACCCTCTGCTGACCACTTCAGGTTCACACAATCTAATCTTCATACAAGCTCTCTGCAGGTGGGTGTTATTGACCCACTTTGCAGATGAGGAGACTGAGGCTTAGACAGTGGTTTGTTGAACAGTGTTTAACAACTGGCTCTTTGGACAAAGTGTGTATTTTATATATTCATATATATAAATTATGTATATATACATATATATAAAATACACACACACACATATATATGGCTTCCCTGATAGCTCCATTGGTAACGAATCCGCCTGCAATTCAGGAAACCCCGGCTTGATTCCTGGGTCAGGAAGATCTGCTGGAGAAGGGAGAGGCTACCCACTCCAGTATTCTTGGGCTTCCCTGGTGACTCAGCTGGTAAAGAATCTGCCTGCAATGCAGGAGACCTGGATTCACTCCCTGGGTTGGGAAGATTCCCTGGAGAAGGGAATTTATATATATATATAAGTTCTTATATATAAGAAGGCATATATATATATACATATATATATGCCTAAGTTTATTATATATTTTGATGATAAAAAGGATACTTAACATGCAATGTTCAAATAATAATATACACTATTTTTATTGTAGATTTCATATAGTCTATTTTTTAAAAATGGTGATGGTTTAGTTGCTAAGTCGTGTCCGACTCTTGTGACCACATGGACTGGAAACCTACCAGGCTTCTCTGTCCATGGGATTCTCTAGGCAAGAATATTGGAGTGGGTTGCCATTTCCTTCTCCAGGGGATCTTCCCAACCCAGGAATCGAACCCAGGTCTCCTGAATTGCAGGCAGATTCTTTACTGACTGAGCTACAAGGGAAGTCCGAAGAGCAAAGTATTTTAAAAATACTTTTTTAATTTATTGTGTTGTACCGGGTCTTCATTGTGGCATGGAAACTCTTAGTTGCAGAATGTGGGATCCATTTCCCTGACCAGGGATTGAACTCTGAGCATTGGGAGTTCAGAGACTTAGTCACTGGGCTATCAGGGAAGTCCCCTTTATAGGCTATTGATTCTTAAAGAATAACTCCTTGATTTTTGCTGGACTCTTATGTCTGTAGGCAGTCTATGATTGCAACTGACAAAGGAATGTAGTTCCAACATGCGTGTTGGTTAGTATTTTGTTTAATTTATAAGAAAAAAGTGAAAAGACATGTGTCAGAACTTCATTCATTCCTCAATGATGTGAGCAACATCTTTGCTGAATTCGATAGTAGTTTTTAAATATTGGGAGAACAGTCTTTCCATTTTGGAGCTATTTATAATGTGAAGGCTGCAGACACTACACATGTTTACATTTAATCCACATTTTTGACATTTTTCCATCACTTTCTTAAGAAAAGATTGTCTAGACAGTCACTGAAACAATAATCAAACCCTTGTTTGTAGCATTGTTCTTCCAAGGTGTGAATACCCATCTTGAGATTGCTTTCGAGCTACCAACAGGATGCCTTTGAACATGGAGTTCGGACAATTCATGGTATCAGGTCATCATACATGATTTCCACCTTATTGATGTGACAGACGTAGATAACCTTGAGGACACAGATAGTAGTAAAATGTAACACAATCACCAGAAAATGGTGACTTTTAAGTATGTATTACCTTTGCTTGTAATATAATTTTATTGTGAAAGTATATAAATCTAATTTTTAACAATGGCTATATTTAGCAACCAGCTCATAAAATTCCTGAAAATCAAACAATTGGCTGGCAAGCAGGTAGTAGCCGGTACTCCTCTGGTCCCAGAGAGGTTCAATGAAGCGCCCAGGATCTGCTTCCTGCCCACCCTCAAACACAGGGAAAGGGGGAGGGACGAAGAGGGTGGGAGAGGAGTCCAGAGTGGACAGACCAAATTCCTCTGTGTTTTCTAAACAAGGGGGGAGGAGATGGACCGTAGCGTGGCAGGGTCCCTGAAGACTGCGGTCATCTGGATGACCACTGTGGGGAAAGAGCTGGGAGGAGGGCAGAGCCTCAGTGAAGGACCAGCCCAAACTGGAAATCCTCACTCCCAGTGGGTCCTGGTGAGGCTTCTAAGAAAAACACATTCTCAGCCTACAAGCAGACAGTCCTTGGCCCAAGGGTGGCCGAAGTGTCTGGCAGAAGTGCAGGTCCTGGCAGTCGGAGGTTATGTGACAGTTGCTGCTGTGAAGATTGTTCAGGCATCTGTTCTGGGTTAGAAAGTGAATAAAGGTGAGGCCCACATTAGGAAATAGGAGCTTGAACCCAGGTTGCAGGATTCTACAACCATTAGGGATACTTGGGGGAGGGGCTGGGTAGACGACAGTAAACTCCAACTTGGACATCTTGCCATAATGAAGAAAGAGCAGTCTCTGAGGACTCTGACATAGGGAGCCAGGGGTGAGAACTCAGGCCCCAAGGGCCTGAGAAATACCTGGGGGGAAGTTTGGAAAACATAATTTCCTTGACCCTATCTCTAGGGAGTTGTATCCAAAAAGAGTAAAAACATAATACATATTGCCAATTGATAACTTCATTAGTATTTTGTCTTCAGAAATGGACCCTTGTGAAGTAAGTACAGGGAGGATTTGAAAAGGATATTATAATTTTTCATTGAAATATGAGATTTTGTATTGGGCTACCATGGATGTGGTTTTCCCAGGTGGCACAGCAGTAAAGAATCTGCCTGCCAATGAAGGAGATGTGGATTTGATCCCTGGATTGGGAGGATCCCCTGGAGAAAGAAATGGCAACTCACTCCAGTATTCTTGCCTGGGAAATTCCATGGATAGAAGAGCCTGGTGGGGCAACAGTCCATGGGGTTGCAAAGAGTCGGACTTAGGGACTAAACAACAACCATGGATGTAATGAAATGAAAATAAGAATGGACTAAATAAAAAGCATTGTAGGGAATGGTAACTCTTAGCTGCAGCACTGCAAAGAATTGAATGAGTGGACCAGGGGATAGACTGATGAGACAAGGGAGCTGCTGCTGCTGCTAAGTCGCTTCAGTCGTGTCCGACTCTGTGCAACCCCATAAACAGCAGCCCACCAGGCTCCCCCTTCCCTGGAATTCTCCAGGCAAGAACACTGGAGTGGGTTGCCATTTCCTTCTCCAATGCATGAAAGTGAAAAGTGAAAGTGAAGTTGCTCAGCCGTGTCCTACTCTTAGTGGTCCCATAGACTACAGCCTACCAGGCTCCTCCGTCCATGGGATTTTCCAGGCAAGAGTACTGGAGTGGGTTGCCATTGCCTTCTCCAGACAAGGGAGCTAGTGACAGAGAAATCAAGGAGATGATGCCCACAGGTAGAAATAATGAGAGATGATGATACATCAATTTAAAACCATTAAAGTCTCCATAAAGAAACTCATAGATACAGAAATCAGATTTGGTAACCAGAGGCGAAGGAATTGGGGGAAAGATGGGAGAAATGGATGAAGAGAGTCAACTACGTGGTGATGGGTGGTAATGAGACTCATGGTGGTGATCACTTTGTAGGGTATACAGATGTTGAACTATAATGCTGTGTACCTGAAACTTACATAAAAGGTTATATCACATTCATTCTCTAAAGCCATTATGAATCTGATTACAAAATCAGATAAAAATATCCATCTAATAAATATCGCTATAAGAATCCTAAAACATTAAGAAATGGAATGCAATTATAATATTTGAAATTTATGTTAAGATGGCAGGGATAATTTTTAAAATATGCTCATATCATAGGTAGGTTAAATTAGAAGAATGTGACCATCGCCATCAGATGTCTCAAGGGCATTTGGTGAAGTTTAATGCACATTCATAATCACACATTTGAAAATAAGAAAATATGCTTCTTCAGCATAAGAAGATATTTACTTTCTTTATAAATATTAAGGCATTCTATAAGGCAGTAATATTAACTAATGTAGTACAAGTGCAGTAATAAACAAACCAGTTAGTGGGGTGGGGTAGAAAATAATAAAAACAAATCTCCTTCATGTGGGAATTTAGTATATGGAAAAGATAATTTTCAAATCAGTGTGAAAATAATGGGCTATTCAGTAACAGGTGTTGAGACAATTGGCTGTCCACTTGGGAAAATGAAGTAAATCCCTCCACTAGGCTCCCTCACCAAAATAAATTGCAGGGGACTTAAAGAGCCAAACAGGAGAATGAAAACATAAAAGTATGAGAAGAAATTACAGGAAAATGGGTTTAGAACCAGGGTGGCACAGAAGAACTTCTTAAACATGATATAAATTACAAAAGCTGGAAAAGAAATAAGTGAACTTTTTGATGACATCAAAATTTAAATGTTTGTATGACCTAAGGTACCTTGAAGTAAAAAGACAAACAAAAGACTGGAGGAAATTAACTGAAAAATATATATCTAAATTATGTAAAGAATTGCAAATTAAAGGGAAAAAAACACTAGCTGCATAGAAAAATGGGCAAAGAATATAAATGGATAGTTTATCCAGAAAAGAAAGAAAGAAGGAAAGTGAAGTCGCTCAGTTGTGTTGGACTCTTTGCGACCCCATGGACTGTAGCCTACAAGGCTCCTCCATCCATGGAATTTTCCAGGCAAGAATACTGGAGTGGGTTGCCATTTCCTTCTCCAGTTTATCAAAGAAGAAATAAAAGAAGGTGCCAGTTTTTCTTCCACATCAGATTGGCAAACAGGTAAAAGGTTAATGATAAGCATTGGTAAGGTTATGGGGAAAGGAGCCTTGCATTTCATGATGGTGGGGTACAGATTGGAGCAGCTCTTTGGAGGGCGACCTAGCAGTTTTTATTAAAAATAGTGTACACCTAAAGATGGGGTGTTCCTGGTGGCTCAGGGGTAAAGAATCTGCCTGCCAATGCAGAAGATAAGGGTTTGATCCCTGGGTGGGGAAGATCCCCTGGAGAAGGAAATAGCAACCCATTCCAGTGTTCTTGGCTGGAAATCCCATGGACAAAGGAGCCTGGCGGGCTACAGTCCATGGAGTCACAAAGAGTCAGACATGACTTAGCGACCAAACACCACCACCTAAAAATATCCCTTTGCTGCAGGCAGATTGATGCAATCCCAGTCAAAATGCCCACAGGGAGCTCATTTTGTTCTTGACTTCCCCTAGAACTAACGTATACCATTGTGAAATTAAAGGTGGAAAGTAAGTAGAAGTGGGCGTGGATATGAACAGTATCCCGGGACTTCCTTGGTGGTCCAGTGGCTAAGACTCCACGCAGGGGGCGCAGATTCGAACCCAGATGAGGGAACTAGATCCCACATGCTGCAACTAAAGACCCAGTACAGCTAAATAAATAAATATTAATTTTTAAAAGTATCCTGAAAAAGCTAAAAAAAAAAAAAAAAAAGAAAAAGCTCAGGTGGAATAGGCAACCCCAACAGATTGGAAGGAGCATGTGTAACACAGAAGCAAGTAAATGACGATATCCTCACTGTTAGAAAGCAAACACGGGAAGACCCTGGGCAGGGAGCATTGGTTCAGGGGTCCTGCCTGTAGCAGGGCTGGGGTCCCGGGCCATGTGGCTGGAGACGTCCGAGTTCTGTTTGGTGGGCTGCTCCCGCTCCAGGCGTCTCTTTCGTCTCTCACTGTTGATCTGCCCTCACTGTTTTTCTGCAGGTCCAAGCCTTGTCCTGTGCCAGTAAGTTTGAAGCGGAGCTAAAAGCAGAGCAAGATGAGCGGAAGCGGGAGGAAGAGAAGAGGAAGGTCCGCCAAGCAGCCTTCCAGGAGCTCAAGGCCGCTTTCAGTGCTTAGTGGGGCTGACCCTGACCTCTGAGCACCGCTGTGCCTCACAGATGCTCCGGGGAGAGCTGGCCAGGCACCCTCACCCATGCTGACCCTTCGCCCCAACCAGCCTCCACACCCAGCACCCAGTGCACACTCCTTGGCCTCGTGGGGTGGCGGGGGCGGCTCTCATATCCATTTGGGAACCCCTTGCAGAAGGTCCCACTGCCCCCTCGAGTCTCTCTCCTGCGTGCCTTCCTCCACCCTTCTCTGTAGCCTGAACGTGCCTCCACTTGGCAACCTCTGCTTGTTCCTGTCTCTTTCCCCCTCCCCAACAAAGAGTGGTCTGCTGTGTTAATTTGTGCAGATACTGCTTTCCTTGATGGTCCTCAGAGGAGAGAGTCGCGGGAGGCCAGTGATGTCAACAACATCCATTTCCCTGGGTCATCCTTTTCTGTGTCTCTCCTTATTCTTTCCCATCCAGCCTCCTTGTTCTCATTCTTCGCCTGATCCTGCCAGATGCTCCTGCATCTTCTGTCCTTTGGTGATGGTGAGGTTTAAGGCAGGCCAGGCTGGACCACAGCCTGGTCCCTGTCCAACAGTGGGCCACAGCATGCTGCTGAGGGTGACAGGAAAGAGTGAAGAGACGGGGGATTCTGGTCCTCCCCATCGCCTTTCTCCTGTCCTTAGCGTTCCTCTTAGGTTCCTCCCTTCTCCTTCCCCTCTGCACTTCTCAGCCTTTCCCCCTTCTCCTAAATACTGTGCTACTTAACCATAAGAATGACAGAATGGTTATAAATAATATTAATGAGTAGAAGAATTCTTATTAATTCTGACTCGATGCAAATTATATTACAGTAGACCCTTGCCGTCACCGAGTAACAAATCCAGAGTCTTTCAGAATATGAAAAGTTATGACCATCTTCACCATCTAGCCAGTTCCCAACATCTGCTCTAAGGTGTTCAAAATGAAGCTGTTCTTCAGCACAAATTTGTACATGTTATGAGTTCTTGGGATTGCTCCCAGATATCAGGGGTTTGTTGTACTTGATAAAATAATTTCTAAGGTCATATTTATTTCTTCCCCTTTTTAACTGCTGTCTTTACAATGAAGAAAACGTCTGCATTTTTACCTTACAGCTATTCTTTTTAAATAAACGGTGCAAGTGGGCTTAGCCATCACATCCGCATGCCTCTTGTCTTCTTTGAATTGGAGGAGAGGGGAGGATGTTTTCTGTGTGGGCCACTTCCAGCCCAGGCTCCTGTTTGACACGGAGTCCCTGAAGTAGCGTTAGAAGTGGTCACTGTGGGACTTCGCTGGTGCCTCAGAGGTAAAGAATCCACCTGGCAAATGCAGGAAACATGGGTTCGATCCCTGATCCAGGAGGGAGCTAAGCTCCCTGGAGCATCTAAGCTCATGCGCCACAACTACTGAGCGTGTGCTCTAGAGCCCCGGAGCTGGAGAGCCCGTGGTCTGCAACAAGAGAAGCCACTGCAGCGAGAACCCCATGCACCCCAACTAGAGAGGAGCCCCCTGCTCGCCGCCACGAGAGAAAAGCCTGTGCAGCAGCGAAGACCCAGCACACCCAAAAATAAATAAATTAAAAACAAACAAACAATTTTCGTGGACGCCGGGTGTGCGAGAGCATCCGGAACGGTGGGCGGGAGGGAACTGAGAAGACCTAGCCTAGGTTCTGTGGATTTGGACCTCCGCATTTCTAACCCAAGATCTCGAAATGCATCGTGATTCCTGTCCATTGGACTGTAAAGTTTATGTAGGTAATCTTGGAAACAATGGTAATAAGACTGAATTGGAACGAGCTTTTGGCTATTACGGACCACTCCGAAGTGTGTGGGTTGCTAGAAACCCTCCCGGCTTTGCTTTTGTTGAATTTGAAGATCCCCGAGATGCAGCTGATGCTGTCCGAGAGCTAGATGGGAGAACACTGTGTGGCTGCCGAGTAAGAGTGGAACTATCGAATGGTGAAAAGAGAAGTCGTAATCGTGGCCCACCTCCTTCTTGGGGTCGTCGCCCTCGAGATGATTATCGGAGGAGGAGTCCTCCACCTCGACGCAGATCTCCAAGACGGAGAAGCTTCTCCCGCAGCCGGAGCAGGTCCCTTTCTAGAGATAGGAGAAGAGAGAGATCACTGTCGCGGGAGAGAAATCACAAGCCGTCCCGCTCTTTCTCTAGGTCTCGTAGCCGATCTAGGTCAAATGAAAGGAAATAGAAGACAAGTTTGCAAGAGGAGTGGTGTACAGGAAATAACTTCATTTGACAGGAGTATGTACAGAAAATTCAAGTTTTGTTTGAGACTTCATAAGCTTGGTGCATTTTTAAAATGTTTTAGCTGTTCACATTTGTTTGTTGGAACAATGACACAAAGGTGTAATTCTCTATGGTTTGAAATGGATCATATGGGGCATGTAATATCAAGAATTGTTACTTTACAATGTTCCCTTAAGCAAAATTTAATTTGCTTTGAATTTTGGTCTTGCATAGGCTGATAAATAAACCTCTTAACTCCTGCCCAGCTAAAGTCAATGTTTGTAACATTATGGAAATAAAAACTGGCAAAAATTGGAATATTTTTTTCAACATAGCTGGGATATGGTATGTAGCTGTAGTTAAGCAGTTTTTAAAAGCTGCTGTGAACTCAGAAACCAGCTGGAAAAATTAAAGCTTCACCCTTAAACCAGATTAGAGGTTTAAAAATCCCACTAGTCTTCACACTGGACAAAAGGTTGTCCAGTTGGTGTAGAATCTAAGAAGTTTCAAGGAAGTTAGTTTACCTTTGCTTTAGGTTGTAAGTTCCTTCTGTGATTGCTGTATATGAATACATAGCTCTTTGTAACGTTCTTTATTTGGAAATCTGAGATACTCAAGATAACAAATGTCCTGCCTGTTTAAGGGTACATTGTAGAGCTGAACTGAGTTACTGTGCAAGATTCTTTTTTCATGCTGTCATTTGTAATATGTTTTGTGAGAATCCTTGGGATTAAAGTTTTGGTAAAAAAAAAAAAAAAAAAAAAAAAAAACCCAAACAAACAAAAAAGTGAAGACTAGAAGTTTGGTTTTCCCTCCAGGGCATTCTGAGTAGGAAGGTTGTCTGTCCACTGCCCTTCCCTTTCCCATCACTGAGGATTCTTTCAGCTGCAGATGAAATCTATACCTTAATTTCTCTTGCTTCTTAGACCCCCTGAACCTCTGATGAGGGCCAGTGACCCCTTGCTCCCATGTGTAATTCCACGGTATATAGCGGACCTAAATATGGTAAGGACCCCTGGCCTAAAAGAACACCCTTGGCTCCCCAGGGAGGACAATTTCTGTTTCTACACAAATCCAAGGCCTACAATTCTGTGGCATCATTTTTCCATGGAAGGTCACCCCACCACCTCCCTGCTGGAGGAAGTGGACATGGAAAAGGAAATGGAGAAAAAAGAATGGAGAGGAAAAAGGAATGGAAAGACTCTCGCCATATAATCCAGCAATCATGCTTCTTGGTATTTATCCAGATGAGCTGAGATCTTTTGTCCACACAAAACCCTGCACATGAATGTTTATAGCAGCTTTATTCATAGTTCAAAACTTAGAAGCAACCAAAGGGTTCTTCAACAGGTGAATCATTAAACTGTGGTCGATCCATACAATGGAGTATTAATTCAGTGGTGAAAAATATTATTCAGTGTTAAATGAGTTACCAAATCACAAAATGACATGGAGGAAACTTAAGTGCATATAGCTGAGTAAAGGAAGGCAATATGGAAAGGTTACATTATATATGATTCCAATTATGTGAAATTCTAGAAAAGGCAAACTTATGAAGACAGTGAAAAGATTAGGGTTATCAGGGGTTGGGGCGGGCAAGGAGGGCTGAATAGGGGATGTTTCGTGCAGTGAAACTTACTCTGCATGTTGCTTTTGTCTTAGTTGCTAAATCATGTCCGACTCTTTTGCAACCCCGTGAATTGTAGATAGCCAGGCTCCTCTGTCCATGGGATTTTTCAGGCAAGAATGCTGGTGCTGTGCTGGGTGCTTAGTTGCTCAGCCTTGTCCGACTCTTTGTGATCCCATGGACTGCAGCCCACCAGGCTTCTCTGTCCATGGGGATTCTCCAGGCAAGAATGCTGGAGTGGGTTGCTATTTCCTTCTCCAGGGAATCTTCATGACCCCGGGATTGAACCTGTGTCTCTTGCATTGGCAGGCGTGTTCTTTACTACTGAACCACCAGGAAAGCCCACATGATGCTATAATGGTCACTATACATTTGTCAAAACCCATGTAGAATATATAACAAAGAGTGGGACCTAACGTTACTATGGACTTTATTTAATAATAGTGTGTCAGTAGGAGCCCATCAGTTGTAACAAATGTACCACACTAATGCGAGATGTTAATAACAGGCAGAATCGGAGGGGGAAGGAAGAGAGGGGTATGTGAAACTCAACTTTCTGCCAATGTTTTCTGTAAACCTAAAACTGCTTCAAAAAATAAAGTCTATTAATAAAGCAAAGGAAAAAGAAGGAAGGAAGGAAAGGAGATAACAGTGTAAATACTTCAAATGTCCATTTCCTTCTGGGGACTTCTAGGCCCATGTAGGAGCTAAGGTCCCTTGTTTGCAAATGACAGAAAATGAAACACAAAAGGACTTATGAGGGAAACAAGAAAACCTATTGGGTTATGGGACTACAAAGACCAGGGACAAGTCTTCTCTGCCCCCTCTTCGTCATGAAGTCCTGTAAACGGTGTTGCCTTCATGCCTGCCATCCACAGCTCCCTCCTCAGCAACATGGTCATGGCCTTCATTGATTTTCCTGGGAGTCTACAGGGACCTCATAACTGATTTCCCTGTCCTCACTTTGCCCTAGTTAGAATCACCTTTCTAAACTGTAAAGTGTTTCTAGCATCTTTCCTTCAGTCTTTGGCTCCCTGCCTTCAGGATCTGGCCCCTACTCACCTGTCTTGTCCCCTGTCTTGCCCCTCCTCCCCTCCAAATGGTACTCTCCAGGAATATGCAAGACCTAGTGATTCCTAGGAAGGGCCACTCAGCCAGACCTTTCCAGTTCCCTCTGCCTGGCACGCCCTCCCTTCCCCGGCAAGTTATGACTGTCACTCAGCTCAGAGATGATCCTCAAGAAGTGTTTTGATGCTCCCAGGTACCCCATCTCAGGGTTCCCATTTCACCCTCAGTTTTTCTCCACCGTAATCCTTATGACATTGTGCAGTATTCTTTTCTTTACTTCTCTTCCTCCTTGTTTTAAAGATTAATATTTTTTTGGAGTATAGTTGCTTTACAATGTTGCTAGGTTCTCCTGGACAGCAAAGTGAATCAGCTACACCTATACATAGAACCCCTCTTTTTTTGATTTCCTTCCATTTAGGTCCCCACAGAGCACTAAGAAGAGCTCCCTGAGCAATAGAGCAGGTTCTCGTTAATTTATCTATTTTATACATAGTATCAATATCATAGTAACTATGTCAATCCCCATCTCCCAATCTCCTAACCTCCGGATTCATCCCATCCCCTCCTCCTTCCTCCTTCTTTGGACTTTTGAACCCTTTGGACTGTGAACTCTTGGAGGGCAGAAGCTCTGCCTCACCGGTTGTTGCAGGCCTAACAGATTGCTTGGCACGTGAGAGCATGCCCCCCGCCCCCCAATGCACGTTCGTTTCACAAGGACATACCAGGTTCTTTGGAGCAGACAGACGGACAGGAGGGGGACAGTACCACAGACTCAGGGGCCTTCTGGACTTCTGATACGGGAGCCTGGCCTGAGGGGACAGCTCGGAAAGTCAGCACAGCAGAGACCGTGCGGACATCTGTCTCACTGGAAAGGTGACAAGTCTCCCCAAGGTCCTCCTTAGAGCGGTAGGGAACACCCACAAGCAAGTCAGCTCTGCCTCTGCCCTGGAGACTGTGTGATGTAACAGGAGCTGCAATCAGATACTAATTAGGCCGGCACCGTATCCTCGCTGAATCTGTTTCCTCATCTGTAAAATGGGAATGGTGACTGAAGATTTTGTCTGGCATTTACTTGGTGCTCAGGACATACAGGTCCCCTCTCCAGCTTCTACCTTCCCCTGCTACAATTCTGTCTCCTCCTGAGCTCTGGGTATTTAAGGTCACTCGTAAGAGATTCCAGGCTAGTTTGTATGTGCTCAGAAACTTAGTTGTATCGGACTCTTTGCAACCCCATGGACTGTAGCCCACCAGGCTCCTCTCTTCATAGAATTTTTCAGGCAAGAATACTAGAGGGAGATGCCATCTTCTCCTCCAAGGAATCTTCCCAATCCAGGGATCGAAGGCATATCCCATACGTCTCCTGCCTGGAAGTGCTCAGTCCTGGCTGTTGCCTTGGCCCCAAGCAGTTACTCACTTACCCAGCTTCTCTATTTTCTTGAGTCCCCTTTCCCAACCAGCCTGGAGAGACTTCTGCCTATCTGCCTGCTCCCCTGCCACACCCCTGCAGCTGACACTTGCTGAGCCCTCCTGGCCGGATCGTGTGACTTGACAAGTGTGGGCTTGTCCCTGCTCAGATTTCTCCCTTCTGACCCTGCTTGTACACCAGGCCAGATTCTGGCCACATCCCTGCCCACTAGCCTGCCTGGTAAGGGGGCCGTAGGAGGCCAAACTTATAATTGCGCCCACTTAGGAAGGCACTGGGGAGGGGACATTATCCGGGGTCTCTTCTCCTTTCCTCTCCTTTCCAAAACCAACACTTTTGGCACTCTGCCACGTGGTATTGGTGGGTATACACGTTGCGGTGGTCTTTTTGAAGGGCAATCTGATAAACTGTTAAAATGTACAATTGCGAGGACGTCCATGGTGGTTCAGTGGCTGACTCCACACTTCCATGGCAGGGGGCCTGGGTCTGATCCCTAGTCAGGGAACTAGACCCCACATGCTACAACTAAAGAACCCAATGCTACAGCTAAGACTTGATGCAGTCAAGTAAATTAATTAATTGAGTTGTATCTGTGTCAGTCATTAATTTCTGCTTTAACAAATCATCCTATAACTTAGTGGCTTAAATCAATAATTAGCATTTGTTATGCCACACCATTTCTGAGGGTCAGGAGTTCAGAAGTGGTTTAGCTGGTTTCTAGCTCAGGGTCTTTTATGAACAGTCAAAATGTCACTTGGGGCTGCAATTATCTGAAGGCTTGACTGGGGCTGGAAGACCCATCCCTAAGGTGACTCACTCATGTAATTCACGAGTTGGTGCTGGCTGTTGGCCAGAGGCCTGCTTTCTTGCTAAGTGGACTTCTCCGCTGGATGGTCAGAGTGTCTTCACAGCATGACAGTTGGTCTCTCTCAAAGCAAGTGATACTAGAGGTGAAAGCCACCCACAACATCTTTTAAGACCTCACTTTGGAAATCACGCTCTGTCATTCCCACAATATCCTACTGGTTACACAAGCCAGCCCAATCGGTAGGAAACACTGGGAGCCATCGTGGAGGCTGACTATTACAGAATCAGTCTGGATTCTTAACTGCAAGTAACAGAATCTAAGCAGACTGATTAAAGCAGAAGGAGAATTTCTTGAAAAGACATTGAGGGGCTCATAGAATCACTAGCTGGTTG